GTCGAACATCTTAAGCAGTGAAAAGATAGTCGCATACCTAGTGTGTTGTTTGCCCATCAGAATAAAAATGTATCCCGAGACGAATCTTTGGTATGTTATTATAGCAATAGACAAAATCATATGCAGGTGCTTTAGAATATTTATAACTTTGTTCTTGCTGTCTTCAACGTAAATACCGAAAATACTAAAAATCGTAAAGACACAGCGAAACGCGCTATTGGAGGCCTTTACTTTCTTCTGACGGTTTAATTTCCAGTAAAAGTTCATTTCGAGAACCAACAAATGAAAGTGAAGTCAGTAGTGTAAGCTTCAAAACCCTGTGTGATGTCTGTAACCCTCTCTGTAACTAAATATCAAAATACTTTCTAAAAAATAAGGAAGCAGATAAATATTTTTTAGGATGAAAAATTAACTTTTGTGTTACACAGAAAAAAATTCGCTCTACGAGCTCAAGCAATAATAATAATTTTTGTTGCGAATATTAAAAAACAACAACTAGTGCACAATATCAATTTTGTACATTGATTTTTGAATAAAGGATACCTTAATGATAGTGTTCAAGAGAATTTTGCAAAACATGATGAATTTTTAATGGCGTATCATGCAACAAAAATGATTTTCTTTCAGCTCATAATCAGAAAACTATTTTTTTTCGACCAAGAGCAGTATAAATTATGATTTCTCCTAATGGGTTTTTAATGATAAGTTTTCCCTACGAAAAACATATTTTTGTATGTATAACATAACAGAAAAATAATACTTAAGGCTTATTTTAGAATCACTCATCTCAAGACAGTTATAGGGCTTTTTATGTTATGATTCAATCCACAACACTTATGCTGCTGTTCTAGTAATTTTTTTTCTTATATGAGACACAAACCTACAGATCGTTAAAAATTCAAAAACTGTTTTGTGCATAGAAACATATTGAAATATACTTATTAATGTTATAATATTTCATTTTTGAAAATTAAATTTAAAAAATGTCATGTAAATTTTTGATGAATGTTATAGAGATAAAAATTAATACACTCTTTTGTACAAAAAGCGACGCACTAATGAGTTAACCGAATGGGACGTTGCTGAGTATGTACATGCCTTACGATAGAATCAATAACGTCTTAAGACTTTTTAAGGCTTTGGACACTTAAACAAAGAAGACCCTACCTGCAGCCTTTTTAAATAGATAACATATGCAAATACGTGAGAAAACGGCAACACGTAACAAAAAAGTGTGCATGATTTACAGTCTCACAGACCTAGGTATCAATGACTCGATCGAATGCTGCCTTTCGACTAAATGAGTAATACTAGACACGGACATGAAATAATAATGCAACCTTGACCTTGAATGTTACCAGTTGGCCCGAATTTCGAAATCCTCAGTTTTTCGAAGAATATGTCCAGGAATAACATTTTACGACTAAAATTATTCAAATCATGATCTCTTGAAACCGAGGCCCAGGTCCATGCTTTAAAACGTGTTATTGTTTCTCATCTCGGATGATGCAGCTTAGCTACACCAACTCCATAAAATCAAAAATCTTTAAGAAATCCAAAAATAAAATAGGATTCCTTAAAACGTTGTAACGTCGTGAGTAGTTAGCAAACAAGAAAATTTGTCACAGCCTCATTTTAAAATTAAAGCAGTATTTATTTGCTTAATAGGTTAATAAAAAGTCCAATAAATATGCCAAGCCGGGCGGACAGTCTATTTCACGGGAGTTCAATCCTTTTTCCTAAAGGCACTCGCTAATCCCTTTTCTTTTCAGGGCTCCTCTCCAGTTTTTCCATCCAGGGCTCTACATCAAGTTTTCCATCCAGGGCTCTACATCAAGTTTTCCATCCAGGGCTCTACATCAAGTTTTCCATCCAGGGCTCGATATCTTTTCAAAATCAACCCCTTTTAAACACCAGGGGCGGGTCCACAACACGTCCCTCGTCTTTCTCATTGGCAGGCCAAAAAAATGCTCTGCCCTCGTCCCCGGGCCACATTCGTCTCCTATTTGTGCGGCAAAACAAACACATTCCTGGTCTGTCTGGAATCTAAGGGCGCCATAATTCTCATTTAACTTCTGAAAACTCTTATTCATCACACCACCTGGGTTTTATAACCCCATTCTCTCGGCACCGGCTGAGGCGTCAGGATTCTTTCATACAGGCTTCGCCTATAGGTCAACCTATTCTCATCGGCTCTCTTTGGATATTGTAACTTCCAGACTCGATGTCGGCGTTCGTCCGAGGTCAGACAATAAACAATGATCCCATGGCCACGTGCTCTTGTCACCTAACATCTGTTTGGAGCCATAAAACTTCGCATGAATAGAAAGGTGAGGTTCACCCCAATCGAAGACGTCACAACATCTATGGTAAAATTCAAGCAATTAAGAATGTGACTCGGAGATGCCTTATTAACCTTTCACCAATGACACTCTGGAAAGACTTTTCGGCTCTGTTGAAAAGTAAGAGATAGAGCTATCTGATGATTCTTAGGAATATTGAGCTGTTGACACCAACGGGGATCACGAGCTCAATATTAACCAGAAAAAAATAAAATATTGTCACAAATATAAATATGTAAACTAAAGATTGGACAAAAATAACACATCAATACACTTAAAATTTATTTTATTTAAAGCAAGTAAATATATATATATATATGAATATCAGATGCAATGCACATACTTTTAGAATTATTTATAATAGAAGTCTTATCTTATTTATTTACAAACATCGGACTAACATAATTTAACATTTGAAGGTTTCGTTGAATAAAGTATGATTAGTTGCTTAAAGTTCATTGAATAAAAGGCTACATAGACATAGATTTGCAATCCATTGAAATGCATTCATGCCTCAGTTGGCTAACATATTCCTGGGTGATATCCGAAACATTGGAATACATCGCGGTAATGGAACTCTCTAAATATTCACAAAAAGTACTAACAATGAAATAGTTAACAATGTGTAACGTCGTGAGTAGATAACAAACAAAAATTTGTCACAACCTAATTTTAAAATAAAAGAATTATTTATTTGCTTCTCAGGTTACTATGAATGAAGCAATAAAGTCCAAGTTATACGCCAAGCCGGTGCATTCTGTCTATAGTACGGGAGATCAATCCTTTGTCCGAAAGGACAAATCTCTCTAAACCATGGATTCCAGTCCTCCCAACGCCATCAGCGTTTATGGTCTCTGGTTCTCCAACACCATCGGTGTTCAGGGTCTGTCCTCTCTTTCGGCTCCAATCTCTATCCTCCACCGTCCAAGTCTCTTTTTATCAGGGCTCTCCCCAAGTTCTCTCCATCCAGGGCTCTTCTTCCGTCTCCTAAAAAACCTTTTTAAACACAAGGGCGGGTCCACACCACGCCCCTTCTCATTGGCAGGCCACAAAAGTCTACCTTCAATCTCCCTAGTCCTATTCGTGCGTAACACCCCAAAACACTCCCGGGCCGTATGGAAACTAAGGGCGCCATGATTCTTGTGCAACATCTGGACACAATTGTCCATCACACCACCTTTGTTCTATAAACCCATTCTCTCGACACCGGCCGAGGTGACAGGATTCTTTTTAGACAGGCTTCGCCTATTGTCAATGGGGTACCAGCTCTACTTTGACCATTATGACTGCCAGTCTGGGTGTCGGCGCTTCCCCGAGGTCAAACAATAAACAATGACCCCTCGACCACGTGCACTGGTCTCTTAAACATCTGGTCTGAGTCATAAAACTTGGTTTGAATAGAAGGGTGGGGTTCGCACCAAGTGAAGTCCTTACAAATGATTCCATTTCTGAAATGTGTCTACGTTTATCACAGCATTTGGAGCGAGTTTAAACTTCACGAAACAGCAGTTATCAAAAAATATAATTGACCTCAGACGTGTAGGACATGGCCTTTTCCTTAATTATTTTTAAATTCGTGCCAATTCTAATCAACTATGCGAGCCCCACTCTGTATACATGCCTCTTTTAGGTGGTTAAAGTTGAGGATTTTCATCTCTTGTATATTGTAATAGATTAATTTGCTCGGAGGTAGCAGAATATGTCACTGCAGTATAAATGTCTTGATTCAAACGGAAATGATGTGGAGGAACAGCATTGTCCGAGAAGGAGGAATCTAGTTTGGGCATCTTTATTGAAACATACTCGATTAATTGACATATTTGTAGAGTCCGACATTCGTTTCACTTTTCAATTTCTGAACGAGTCCGCTTAAAATAAATCAAAATTTAAAACTACAATCTGTGAGAGAGAAAAAGTTAGAAAGACACACTTTGAACTAAATATAACCCGTCTATGATTAGAACTTTACATCAATACTGATCTGTGACTGGTTTGTCTGGATGTTATCACACAATTTAAATAAGAGTAAGTTGAATAACGGAACAGAATAATCTATTCCCACATGGGCTCATTAGTAAAATTGGTATTATCTGCTTTTGTTATCAGCATTTCTGTAATGACGTTGTACATATGATTTTTTCCAATTGAGTAATACTTTTTCAGAATTCCGATTCATTCTGAACGTGATTTTGCTTGGTCCAAACACGCATTCTCATATTTATCTTCAAGCTGATTATATTGTCAAAAAAATAACGAAATTCTTAACTTTGAATTGTATAGCACCGAATTGTTCACAGAGTACTATTAACTTTCAGTTGTAAAAGTGTGACAACTCAACTTTGTTTTGAATATTTTTACTTAATTTTCTATATGTTCACATATGTATATACATATGACAGAATCACACTATTAAGTGACAAAATAGAAAGCGATTTTCCTTTCTATATAGGGTGTTGGACTATTTTTGAAGTTATACTTCTTTGGGGGCGTTAGAGAAATAGGATGAGGGTGAATTTTTATGATGTGCGCGCACACCATCACGGATGTGACGCAAAACCATCACAGAAGCTAAAATGCTTTGTCTAGAAATATACATTACGTTACAGATCATTGCCGTCTTCGAAATTCTCAGAAAAATATTTCTCTTCACTTCCCTGAAGAAAACACCCGGGCTTGAACAGGGGACCTCTCGATTTGCAGTCGAATGCTCTACCACTGATGTATACCCTCAGTGTCTGCGAACCTTTGCTTTGCGCTGATATGTGACGTCACTACTAGTAGGGAGAGATCGTCCTTCGCCTACGGAGCTTCTCTGATGTATTTGTTTGAACACTTTTTGTTATTAAACCAAACATACTTACAGGAAATTTTTTAAAAAAAAATTAGTTTGTTTCATGTACATAAAACATAAGAGTAAATATTAGTTTACCTATTTAAATAACAATTGCAAGTATATGATTATAGATGTATCTACTACGAACGCATTGCCTTGAACATAAACACATTTATTACATTGTAGCAAATTATAACAGCCTTTTTGTATTCGATATTTATTTTGAAGTTATCCTTCTTTTGGGCGTTAGGAAAAGGATGAGGGTAAATTTTAGGATACGCGTGCACACGTAATGGATGCGGGATTTTTCACGACATCGATGCGCGCACACCGTTGTCAGATTTTAAATAAAGGGG